TTTTTTTTATAAAATAATTAACTAAACTAAATTGCTCCAGGCTCCACAGGTTAGGTAAATCAGTTAATTTTTTTTTATTTTTTTTTTTCATTTTCTATAAGTTTTTTGCGAGGCACACCGCGACGGTTCTAGGCCGCACAGATTAGATATATTAGTTAAGTTTATTATAAAATTATTAAAAAACCTCATTTTAGAAAACTTGTTTACTTGTGACATAAATACGTGTTTAGAAACATGCTTTTTCTTATGGTTATTGATTTATTATTTGTAATAGTTAAAAAAATAATTTACTTGGCACTGTTTTGTCAAGTATGGCTTTGCCATTTTTCTTGTTGAATATACACCGTGTCCCACGTAAGGCGGGCATTACAACTTTATGGAGAATACATTAATTTGTATTTTCGCCATTTTCTGAGTATACATAATCGAATATGCTCTTTTGAAATAATGTGCAACTTCCGGTTATACCGGAAGTGACCACTAACTTCGTTATTTTAAAGGGAATACCCCATATTTTTTTTTTTTAATTTTAGATTCAGCATGAAATTCTGTAAACAACGATACCCCATTTGCCTATTCTAGTTATAGCGGATTTGGCGTTATTCAATTTTTTTCTACATTTTTAGTCGCCGGTAGACATTTTCTTAAAATCGTCTATCTCAGGTACTATATCTATCAGATATTTAAAATTTTAACCAGAGGTAGTAGATGGGATGTACTTCTTGAGAATATTTAGTTATTCATTATTTGTTGTACGGGGTGTTTGCAAATTATTTTTAAAAATGAAATTTTTTAAACATAAAAATCTTTTTTATTTTAAAGGGAACACCCTATATATTTTTTAAATTTAGGATTCAGCATGAAATTCTGTATGTAAAATATGGATGATATTTGGATAAGTGTGATTTTTTATGTCCAGTATTTTATTTATTATTTAGCATAAGTTTTTCTTATCAAAAATTTATTAATATTATAAATTTAAAAGTATTTTATAACCGACATTATGAATTAGATCATAAACCTTCGAAAAAAATGTTTAAGCTGCATATAAATATATTCGAAATATCAGTATCGTGACATGTCCGATTCTCATTTTTGTAATTAAATATATCAATTTCTATCAAAATTTATTTTGTAATAAAAAATGTACCTCTTATAACTACAATCTAATGCATACTGCATTGAATTTTATTGCAATTTTATACCAATCTTTCGATTGGTAATAAAAAAAATAATCATTTATATGTCCGTACCGTGGAAATAATGTCAGTACGGTGGCATTAAAATTTTTGAAATTTTATCACAGTTTTCGTTGTGTTGTAGCTGTAGTATAAACACTTTACAGACTTATTTCTGTGCATAAATAGAAAACAAAAACGCGTAGAAAATACATTTTAAAACGTTTTTAATTTTAAAAAATTTAAGTTGTAAAAATCACAGTTACACGAGAATCACCCATATTCTCTGTATATCAAAATTTTCAAAATAATTTTACAAATTTGTTCTTTTTATTATTGTCTGGGCTATTTTACTACTTAAACTTGAACTTGAATTGAAGGTTAAGTGCATTTAGTTTGTGAATTGCATGCTATATTTTTCTTTTTATGGCAGTGAATCACTGTTGTGTATTTACAGGTACGTACGTACTAATAATTTTAAACTCTCCGTATACACCTGTTCAAATTAAATTAAATAAATAAAGTTTGGTACCTTTTTAGATTTTTTCGTTTATTTCAACTTTTTAATAATTAAAAATTATTCAATTCTAGTACCTTAATCTATTTTATTTTTTATTCAGCATTTTATATTTTTTTATGTGATTTTCGATAAATTTCAAACCCCTAATTCAAGTAGGGGTTTGCTATTTAAACTTTTTTAATCGGGGTAGGTGGGGCCTACGGGGTAGTTGGGGGTGATTTTGTCTCTGTCATTTTAGTTCTCCCTTTCTATCCTAGAAATATTTTTTAGCATTTTTCGTTTGTGAGATATAGCCCATTGTAAGTTTTTAAATTGTCACACTGTATACATAACATAAGGGTTACCCTTAAAAGAGTAAAATAGCTGTGATACGCCTTTTGTTGTATTTACATGATATAAATATAATAATAACAATAGTTTATTTAGAAAATAGACAAATTAATACATACAAAAATTTGACATTATAAGAATAAGTAGTATAAATTTAAAAAGAATAATAACAGCAACAGAATAAACGTGTGTGCGAGTTCATCCATAAAAGCCAAAGAGGCTGTGCATGGACGAATATATTATATTTGAAAGTGTTGACAATTATTTTTATACACAAAATTATTCTAGCTATTTTAACATGTATTTTATTTAAAAGTAGAAAAAAGTAACAATAAAAACAAACAGAACATTATAACAAGCCAAAATTAAAAAAAGATTAAAAAATAATTATTAGACATTTAACAAGAGGTGAACATTTTCCCTTCCTAAGTTTATAATGTATGTTTTAAAACGGTTTTTAATGAATTCTAATGAGTTTATATTGAGAAGGTACATTTTATATGATTCGGGGAGACTATTAAATACTTTACTCATTTGGTGTGAATGTGTTCGGATGCTAACATTTCTTCGTGAAAACTGTGTATGTACATTTAGATTTTCTCTATATCTTGTATTGTGACGGTGATTTATAAGGTGTAATTTTTTTTAATTTTTATAAATAAATATAATTATTTGGTGCATAAATAATTGTCTTATATCAAGTATTCTTGCCTCTAAGAACAGAAGGTGGGAAGGGTATCTGAGTTTCTTTTTAAAAATTATTTTTAGAAACCGTCTTTGTAGTACATCTATCTTTTTTATGTAACAAAAGGCAGCTCCTCCCCAATTAATAATCGAATATCTTAACCTTGATTCGATCAGAGCAAAATAAATAGTTTTGAGATGACAAGGATCTATAATATTTTTAAAATACCTAAATTTGTACAATAATATCCTCAGGACTTTAACTACATTTTCAATATGATTATCAAATCTAAGGTGGCAATCTATATGTAGTCCAAGGTACTTTACATTATTTTTAACAGTAATGCCTACTTTAGAATTTGACCTCTTAACTGTTAATAAATTATAATCAGGTAATGTACTAATATTGTTAGAAAATGGCACAAAGTAAGTTTTTTCGAAGTTAACGGTGAGTAATTTATGACTAAATAGATCGAATATATTTTCTTTTTTAGATCTGTCCAGCTATTATCGGAGTAAACAATCGCTGTATCATCTGAAAAGCTTATCAATTTTCCTGCACTTGAATAAGTAAAAATACTGTTGAGATAAATAATAAAGAGGATAGGACCTAACACAGTACCTTGAGGTACACCAAATTTAATACATTTTCTTTCACTTAAAGTGTTAATTTTTATCGTTTGAGTTCTATTTAATAAATAATTTGCAAAAAGTTTGTTTGGTTCGCCTCGAATTCCTATATCATCCAGTGCCTCCAGCAATTGCGCATGAGAAACTGTATCGAAGGCATTAGCCAGATCCAGAAACACGCACAATGTAGGTTTGCTAATTTCTAAGGAGTTCGTAACTTCCTGTAACAATTCCGAAATAGCTTCTGTTGTCGAGATCCCTTCTTGAAATCCAAACTGATTGTTGTTTATTATTTTACTATTTGTAAGAAATTTGGTAATGTGACTTTTAAGGGATTTTTCAAAAACTTTAGCTAGACATGTTATAACTGATATTGGTCGGTAATTAGAAACATTTGTTTTTGCTCCTTTTTTATAAATTGGTGTTACTACTGCAGTTTTAAACTCTTGAGGGATACAAGAAGTTGTAAAAATTGAATTAATTAAATGAACTAGAGGCGAAGCAATAACTGGTGCAATATTTTTTAGGATTTCAGATTTTATACCATCCACCCCTGCAGCCATTTTAGACTTTAAAGATTTTATTAATTCAATAATTTCAGGTTCTGTCACAAGTGCTAGGAAAAATGATCTTCGGCATTTTTTAGAAAACTCAGGTACATTAGAAGGCGGCTCGATTTCATTAGCGTATTTCTCACCAACATTAATAAAAATTATTAAATTCATCTGCAATTTATTTATCATTTGTGGTCAATTCATTATTAGAATTTATAATTTCATTTATTTTATTTTAATCGTTGGTAAATGAATTATTTTTTATAATATTCCACAGATTTTTTGACGAATTTTTGTTATTATCAATAAGCTTTCCATAGTACCTAAATTTTGTTGCTTTAATTAGATTTTCTAATTTCCGTTTAAAATTATGGAATCTATTTTTTTTTAAATCATTTGTTGGGTCTGTTTGTTATTCTTTATATAATTTATTTTTTTCATTTATAGAATGCCGTTCGTGATCCAACCCTTACGTTTAATATTGCTATGCTTAATTAATTTTGTATTTTTGTGTTTTTCCATGAAAAAGTTCAATATGTCTAAAAATTTTTTTGTTAAAGTAATTGGATCGTTAATGTTATAAAATTCATTCCAATTATATTTTTCTAGATCATTTTTTAATCTAGTATAATCTATGTATACAATATATTTTTTAAAATTAGGTTGAGATTGGGAGTTCATTATATTAGGTATACATAAAATAGTTGCTTTATGATCAGTAATAAAATTATCAACAATAATAGAAATGCATTCTTCTGGAATGTTATTTTTATTTGTTTTTAGAAATATGTGGTCAACACATGTTTTAGAATTACCTTGTACCCTTGTTGGCCTATTTATCATTGAAATAAAATTATGTTCACTTAGGACGTCCATATAGGAGGATGTGATTTCATTTTCTTGTAAAATATTTTAATTTATATCACCTATTATAATGTTATAATAAGCCTAACATAATTATTATTGATTAAAAAATACAAAATAACACTAAACTCTTTCACTGACGACATTCTTAAGATTACCCTGTATTTTTTTTAATTAATTGTAAAAGATAATATCCAAATTTCGTATAAGTTAATCTTATTATACTAAATAAAGGTCGCAATGCATTTAAGTAATATAATTTCAGACACAACATTTGTTTTCAAGGTGATAGTAATTATTTAAAAAACAGAATTAAATTTTTTTGTACAGTTTCGAAAAATGTTTTTAACTGAGAACATCATAATCGATTTATTGGGCATTTTTGTCGCCCTGCTATTAACTTTTGTAGTAAATCACATATGGACACTTGGATATTGGAAAAGAAGAGGAGTTTCTGGTCCAGAAGGCATATTCCTCTTTGGAAGCATGAAGGACTTTTTTTTATCCAAAAAAACAATGGCAGATTTTCTCAAGGACTTATATAATGAATATAAATCTAAAGGTTAGTGATCGGTTAAAGTGATAAATAAATTAGCAACAATTTAAAAAAGTGTGTTTTATATACAAGGTGTTCCTAAACATCATGTCAAAATTGAAGAAGGTAAATCCTTGACATAAAATTAATACAAACATCTGTCCTAAATTGCTTTGTTTCGAAGATATAGGGTGTCCAAATTTTAAAAAATAAACGTTTTTCATCAATAAATACTCTTTTGCCCATTTTAATTAAATTTGGTACATTTGTTTGTTTGAGTAAGAGGCTGATTTAGAATTAATTAGATCGAAATTATCAATTGCAGTGCAGTACCCAAAGACCACCTTACTGATATTTTTGACAAAAAAAAGCACGCCACTGTGTTTTTCCATATTTTTTATTTGGTCTCTAAATTATACAATTAAGAACGCAACTTTCTTGTCTTTTGAGTTTTTTCATTTTTTTAGCATTTTTATCGAGATAAAAAATAAAAACTCTGTGATAGCACGCCACTACAAATAAAATTGTCTCAAAATTATGATGGTTATCTCAATGGAGTAAGTTTTTCTTATTGAAAACCCTGTAAACGAATAAAAATTGTCAAACTCGTGAGCTATTAAACGTTTTTAATTGTTGTTCTTAAAGAAGAAGCGAAGAAAAGTAAAAATTTTTAAAAAATAAAACAATTTTTGAAAAACAGAAAGGTGCAAAATACAAAGTTGAGAATTTTTTTTTCAAAAACTCCTCTAGCAGCCTCTAGATTTGTTTGTAGTAGCCTCATTTAGATCTGCATAATTAGATTTAAGTTATTAGTTAACGTAGCTTTTTCGAATTCAAAATAGTTGATATTTTAAAAAAAAAATACGTAACTGTTTTTTATACTAATTTTTTTATATTAAATAATTAAAAACAACTTTTTGTTTCTTGAATTTTTTCGTATATGGCATAATTTTCGAAAAAAAGTTACATTTTTACATATCGCTAGTTGACAAAAAACATACAGATTAGAGAAATAGTTATAACATAAATACTAACAAAACCTGGAGTGTTAACATTTGTATAACCAATAAAATACCAAGAAAAATTCTAAAATTAAGGAAATAGTAACAACAGCTCAATACATTAGTGATTTAAAATATACTACAATAATTGTTGGAAATACCTGCTCCCAGCTAATATGTACGCCACTGCTCGTCTTCACATAGACGCTCGTACTCTCCCAAATATCCCTGGAGTATTTTTGATTGTTTTAAATCTATTAATTATTCTATTTCTTAAATCCTACACATTATTTACTGGCGATTCATATATTCAAGCTTTAAAATACCCTCACAAGAAAAAATCTAAACTATTTAAGTCAGGTGACCTAGGAGGCCATGGCTGTAGTTCGCCCCGACCTATCTATCTATTAGGATACGCCTAATTTAAAAATTCTTGTGCCAAAAGAGAAAAATGTGGTGGAGCACCATCGTGCATGAATCATATACGATTCTTTAGTAAAAGTGGTACGTGGTACGAAGCAAAGGCAATTCATGTTGTAAAAATCTCTGTATGAGTTACCATCTAGTCGGCCGGGCAAAAACAAAGGTCCTATAATATAAGATGGTCGTCAAGTATACCACTCCACACATTCAGGGAGAACTGTTCTTGGAAATGCGTTTCTACTATGCTATGTGGATTCTCGTCAGCCCATAAGTGGTTGTTGTGAAAATTCATGATTGCATCCCTTGAGAAGCTTGCCTCATCATTGAAGAGGATTTAACGATCAAAATTAGGTTTTACCAGCAGCCTTTGAAGGTACCATTGACAAAAAATTATTAGCTTTGTTCGCACAAGCAAACTTCCAACTAATAAGAAATTTTTTTGTGCGCATGTTCAAACTATTTTTGGTTTTAACCTAATTGCCAATTTTTTGTTCTGCGAACGCTTAAAAATCATTGTTGACTGAATGTTCTGAAAGGTAAAGTCCCATTGAAAACTGTAGATTTATAGGTTATGTTTTATTTCTTTCAATATTTCAATGCTTCTCGGCTATAATATTTGAGATTTTTGAATTTGCCCTTTTTATAATTATTGTCGTTAAATAAAAGTAAACATATTTATCTTAAGCGATTTACGCAATGGAAGGTAAGTTCAGTGGTGTGTTTTAGGTAAAATACCTATAACAATTTTGTTGTTTTAGAAACTCCCTTGGCAAACCCCACTGAGTCGTGCTCTAGAGAAGGTAGAAGTTTTATATGGACTGCTGTAACAACTCGAATGTTACTAAATTATTTTAAAACAACAAGGAAACTGGTGGGAACATTAAAAATTAGAAATTTTAAGAAAATGTGGGAAGTTATAGCCCAAGAATTTAAAAAAGAAAACATTGATGTGACACCCTTAAACTGTGAAAACAGATGGCGAGTTCTAGAACGAAATTATAAAAAATATGTAGATAATAAGAAGCAAACTGGAGCAGGTCGAAGATTTTTTGAATTTGCCGATGAAATGGATGATATTCTCGGTAAAAAGAAAAATATCAATCCGACAATTTTATTATCTACATCAACAGCAACAAAATTACAAACACCTTCGACTTCGACACAAGCTGAAATAGTTGAAAAGGAATTTTCACCAGACTTTTCACCTGCTTCTTCCTCAATAATAAATAAAGAAAACATTACAACAGTAACGCCTCATAGGATGAAATCAAAAGCAGCCACATCTGTAAAAAATAATGTTTTGGAAAAAATACGTCTTAACAAATTAGATCGACACAATGAAAAATTAGCTTTTGAGAAAGAAAAATTTGAAAAACTTTATCAATTGGAAGTTCAAAAGGTGCAATTAAAAGAACGGAAGAATAATTTATTAAAAGATAAAAATAATTTACATATTGAAACAAATAAACTGTTACTAAAATTGACTGAAAAAAACATTCTTATTTAAACAGATATTCCTGTAGTATTTTAGTTATTTATTTAGTTTATTGCATTTATAAGTATTGTTTGTTTAGTTCTATTGTCGTTTTGCATTTACATTGTTCGTTTAGTTCTATTTGTTATTGTCGTTTTTGAAGTTTTGTGAAGTTTGTAATAAAAAAAATTCTGTTAAAAAATTATTTATTAAGTTATACCTATCAAATAAAATCAAAGTTTCTACATTGGCAAGATATTCATAACACGATTTCTAAATTCTATACCGTTTATATTGTCTCTATTATCAACCTCTACTCTGTCATTATTTTCTATTTGCACGTCTTCATTGTCTTCAATTTCAACTTCTGCCTCTATATTGTCATAATTGCGATTATCATTTAACCCTAAATTATGAAGAACACAACAAGCTCTAATAAAGTTTGCAATCATATCATCGCTTCTTAATTTTAAGGGGTACAATTGACGAAATTTCTGTTTCAAAATGCCGAAACAATGTTCCACTACATATCTGGTTTTTGCTAATTTTATGTTGTAATTTATTTGCCTCCTTGTTAAATGTCCAATTTCCTTAAATGGCGTTAATAAATTTTTTTGACACGGATATCCACTGTCTCCCAGAAGATAATTTTCACCACACATCTCTTCTATGTTGGTGCATAAAGGAGATGCCCGAAATACCCTGCTGTCGTGTACGGAGCCAGGAAATCCTATTACCACGTCTCTAATTTTTCTTTGATGATCAGCAACTACCTGAAACTAAAATAACTACAATAAAATAAAGTTTTAATAATATATATTTAAATATGCAATGACCAAAAATGATAAAATTTAGAAAGAAATAGAAGTAGGTAGGAACTTACTTGTATTGAATAGAATCCTTTTCTATTAAGGTAGGAATCAGGATCTTCAGAAGGTTTGTCAATCCTCACATGACTCCCATCAATTGCTCCTATCACGTTTTCAAATCCATTGGTGGAAAACTGCTGTTTTATGTGTTGTTGTTCTAAGTAATTTGGCCAAGTAATAATTTGTGGAGAAAGATTGCTCAAAAAGTATGTCATTCTTTCGATAACTTTTCGGAGAGTACTTAATGATATGCAAAATCTATCGGCAACATCTCTATATGAGGCTGCCTCATGGCCAGCATACCATAAAAATATAATAACGAAGTCATCGGCATTCAATTTTCCAAATTCCCCGCTTTGGTGATGGAAGTATTGCGTTTGTGCAAATTGTTCAGATAAATTTTGAACAACTTGTCTGCTTAATCTAAAATGTTCCATAAATTCTGTGTTTGTATAATTAGGGACTATCTCTTCCAAATAATTTTCATTTTTTTGCTTTGATTGTCTAAAATAATCAACTAATAGTTCCTCGTCACTGGAAGAGCTTTCCCAATTGTCCTCGAACAACATCTTTAGAACTACTTCTAAAAAAATTAAATATGATTACCGACCTAATTACATTTAGTACTTAAAAATGTCACTTACCTTCTTTTTACTTATTAAAATGATCCGACAATAATTTAAAATATAAAATGAACACAAAAATAATCCAAAAACAACAAACATATAACCTAACTTTTAAATTGACATGCGACATAAGGAATAAACTAATGCGCATGTGTCCAACTAAAAATTTCTTCAAAATCAGGGGATTATTTGGATCGTTGGAAATCGATTTGCAACGGCAAATTTCGTTCTGCGAACACCCAATTTTTAAATGGAGATTTAAAATTTGGTTGTGCGAACACTTTTTACGAACTGCGCATGAGTCTTGCAGTTGCTTATTTTTCTGATCGTTGTGCGAACAAAGCTATTATCAACAAGAAATTGGGTGGAAGCAGTTGAATGTGGTACGGATACCATAGAGAATCATGTAAAATACGCCAAACAGTTTGGTGGTTAATATTCAGGGTTCTGGAAATTTGCCTGGTGCTGGTTTCTGGATGATTTTATATTTCTGCTAAAACCGCTTTTTCTATTTATGATGTCCTAACAATTCGAGGCCTGCCGCCATCGTTGGTATTCTTTTTAAAAGTACCAGATTCAGCAAAGCGACGGTGAATAGATGGGAATACTCGGCGGTCAGGTATGACGCGATTTGGATATGTTTCCAAATAAACATGCCTGGCTTCAACTGTATTTTCCATTTGCAAGGCCATTGATAAAGTGCACATCAGCCATTTCTAAATTTGTAAAATTATTCATAGTTTAGGATAAATAAACTTTTATTTAATTCACTGTTTAGTCTTGAATTTCAAGCTTTTAGTTTGAACAACGCAACTCGCAAAAACTTTTTCACATGGCACAAAAATATTTAAATGACAGTGACAGTTTAATATTATTCAATCTGATTCCATGGAAATGCTATAATTTGTTTGCATGGCCCACTTGACATTTTGTTCATTTTAAGATTTTGTGCAGCGAACGCTTAACAAAAATTACTTTTTTATTGAGATTATCAGCAATGTTTTTTTGGTTAGCGAATTTGAAAAAAAAAAAAAGAAAAAATATGAAAGTCAGTGGCGTACTTTTTCTTTTTAAATATCAATTAAGTTGCCTTTGGGGACGCCACTGGAATTAATAATTCAGATATAACTAGTTTAAAATTAGTCTCTTATTACAACAAATAAATCTCCAAAGTTTCATCAAAATCGACCAAAAAGTGTTTATTATATGAATGAAAAATTGATTATTTTTAAAAATTTGAACACCCTGCATCTTTGAAACAAAGCAATTTAGGACACATGTATATAAACTTTTAGTCATAAATTGTGCCAAGGAATTACCTCCTTCAATTATGACATGATGTTTAGGAACGCACTATATGTATAATTACTGTATTACGTGATGCTGTTGGCTTCATTAAATTTTTGTATTTATGCCTAATATGACTGAAAAACTAACTATTTTCAATACAAAACAATATGTCAGTTAATCGTGGTGTTATATTTGTCATATAATACTTATATTATTTTTAATTTAGATTTTTGAAACATTTTCTTAATGTAACAGTGATCTTACTACTTATATTCATTTAGCGCATCAATAAATAGTTGCAGAATATTCAAATTAAGGCTGGTGTCGTATAAATGAGTCTTACTTTTTAAATAAATATTAGTCAACCTCATAATATTGAAATAACCAAAAAAGGTTGACAGCTGATGTGTGCACATAGTTTAGATTCAAAAGGAAAGACTTGTATTTCGTGCAAAACTTTTTAATTAATAAATGCAAAGCGCTTTCGGCTTATTAGCCATCATCAGAGCTTATCTACAAAAATTGTGGATGTAAAAAAAATATAAATCTGATTAAGACTTTTAAGTCAAGAGTTAAAATTGTATATATACGGTTGTTTGAACAAATTAACAATTAAAAGATACAAACAAAGTGACAAAAAACCAGTATTGGGAATAGTGAGTGTGGGATAAGCCCTTACAAATCATATCTGATCTCCAGAAGCAAGTTAGCTTGTGTGGAAATAAGGAATTATACCACCTTCACCATTCACACAATTGAAAACAAGTTAACAAATTAGTTAAAATTTAAAGAAATTTACAATTAGAAAAAACATATATTGAAATTTGAATCTAGAATGCAATAGTTAATATGAAGAAAGTTAAACGCAGAAGGCCAAAGTAAAAAACTGAAGGTTTTTTTTATATGTATATACATTATAATTATAAAAAAATTCTACCTACTGTCCACAATTAGATATTTCGGGATATTTACAACTTGCTAAATCATATTATTAGTATTATTAATATTTTCAAATTTAAATTTCTTTATCTATTCATTTTTATTTTTATTCAAGTTGTTTAACCGTTTCCACATGACAGTGGTGACAAGCGACACTTAAAGACGTTGATTTGTCAACTGTCAAGAGAGGAGGTGCGTTCACCTCAGTGTGGAACATGTTTCTCTAAGTGTGATTCGATAACGGAGATCAAAATTTGTTGGTATTGAATTTAAAGATTTGATTTATTGTTAGTTAAATTTAAATAAATATTTAATATGAAATGATGTTATTACTTTTAATGATCCTTTTAATGTCAAGACAAAACAAAAATGTCACTCGCGTGGTTCTGATGTGCCATCTCGGGGTCTGCAGAACTTATTTCCCAAGATGGCGCAACTGAACCCGCGGTCCCTAGAGGTGAATCTGATGTTTAGTCTTAAAAATTACTAAATCACTAATCAAGCGTACTCATGGTTGAAAGAGACAAAATAAAGAACAAAAAAGTTTTAAACAAAAGAGAACCATGGTCCCAAAGGTAGGCTCTGATGGGTGAAATAGAGTTTAGGAGGGGATGGCTCTCAAAGGCTTGTATTGAGCGACTCGGACCTACATCATCATAGAGGGTTAGTTGAGTTGTCTATGGAGTGGTATGAAATTTCTGTTAAGGTTCACTTAAGTGTTGAGACAAAGGATATTGTTGTCTCTTTCAAGAGTAATTTCAACATCTTCATGAAAATCTAATAAATTGAAGTTTTTGTGTTTAAGTTAGAGTTTTTTGTTGGGCTAAAATGATGTTGATTGAACCTCAAGTGATGTCCGAATGCAGATGTGTCCGGCTTCTTGATGTGCTCGCCTATCCGGACTCCCAGAGATCTACAAGTTCTGCCGATATAACTGGCATCGCAATCGCTGCATTGCAACCTGTATACTCCTCTCTTATCTAACAAATTCGTTTTTTAATAAACTAAACTCATCTAGTCAATACAAAAGACAAAACGAATTTGTTAGATAAGAGTGGAGTATACTATTCCCAATACTGGTTTTCTGTCACTTTGTTTGTATCTTTTAATTGTTAATTTGTTCAAACAACCGTATATATACAATTTTAACTCTTGACTTAAATGTCTTAATCAGATTTATATTTTTTAAATTGTAAGTTTACATCCACAATTTTTGTGATGATGGCTAATAAGCCGAAAGCGCTTTGCATTTATTAATTAAAAAGTTTTGCACGAAATACAAGTCTTTCCTTTTGAACCTCATAATATTTTGCTGTATTTATACCTTCTGATTATATTCCTGTTTGCACGTCTTCTGGCCTCCTCCTAACTAGGGTGTTCAGAATGTTTTTAATTTCATAAATGTCTTAGCTATCGAGAAATAATAAGGGTTATTCAATGCTTTACTTTTGGTCACAATTGAACGATTCACCATATTTTTACCTTATACTAATATTTTTTATGATATACTGAAATGTTTTACCATGGTATTCAACTTTTTTTTATGGTCGTGTTGTTAAGAAAGTCATAACGGGCTAGCCCGGTAAAAATTTTAACCACAGTTGTAACTAAACTGTCATTATTTTAAAACACTTTCGGAAACTTGTAATGATAGTATCAAATGATAAAATTTTATTTGAGTTTAGGTTGAAAAACGTAGTAAATTGCAGTATATTATAAAACTTTTTACGATACACGTCCGTTACCTGATCTCTACGTGCTCGCATAATAACGATTGTCCTAGCATGTAAAGATCTAGGTAACGGGCTTATAACGTAAACTACTATTACTTACTGGTTTTATATTTTAGGTGAACGCTATATTGGATGTTATTTATCCGGTCGACCAATTTTCGTTCCCATTGATTTAGATGTGATCAAAGAAGTGTTGGTAACACATGATAATTTTGATAGTCACGGTTTCTATTATAATGAAAACCAACCGTTAACAATTAATGTGTTTACTTTAGCAGGCACTAGGTGGAAAGAAGTTCGCACTAAACTTACGCCATCTTTTACACCCGGTAAAATAAAAATGGCCTATAATTCTCTTTTAGATTGCAAATTGGATTTAAAAGTCCTTCTTGATAAAGCTTCCAAAAATAATCCCGTTAATATCAAGGATATATTGGTACGTTTTACAATTGATGTTATTGGTAAGTAAATATAATGATTCAAATAGAATAAGGAAATTTTTATCACAGATACTATCTGTAATTATAACGTGTGGAGGGTGACTCCGTTGCTGAGGTGATTCTCTTTTATCAGCCGGATTATCTGTTGTATAATTTCTACCTTTATAACATCCCTCGTATTGTTGACTACTTTTATATATACCCTTGTATTAGTTTATATATCAGTAGTTGTCAACTTATATTTTGTCGAAATACTTGAAAATGTCTTTATTAAACAAACAAACGAAATATTTACAATACATTTATTGGCCACTCGTAAGCAACAGGCAACAGAAAATTTTAACCAATTCTTGCACCAACCTAAACTTCTCAGTAAAAATTGCAACTGCTGTTGATGCTGAACAAAATAAAAATGATTTTATCCGAGATGCATTTATCAGTGGTTTAAAATACTTAGTTCTGACGAAGCTGTTACCAAATCTAAGTCCTTAGAAGATGCCCAAAATCATTCTGAGAGATACATAACACCTTCCAGTATCGTTAACAAATGCTCCAAAGAAATAGATTGCTCTTTATCGGAGAATATTCCAAATTTAGCTACTACGTCACAGTCATGCTATTTCTATGGAAAATCAACACCTCCCAGCACTTTATCCTGCAAAAAATAAAAGACTTGTGCCTACTATAAGAAATTAGGTCATTTCGCTCAAGTTTGCCAATCCAAAAAGAAGAAATCAGTTATTGTTTCCACAACTTCTTCTTTGCTTGCCACTTTTTCTCATTTATATACTACGTCAAATCTTTCGAAAACCCTTGTTGATTGTAAAGTAAATGGTCACAATGCTATTTTTTTGATTGATACCGGCAGATCGTACAGTTATATCAATTATAACTTTGCATTTAAAAATACATTTACCATACATTCCTGTTTTAGTAAAGTTTTAATGACATTTACTTCCCTTTCTTCTGAGATCAAAGGTTATTGTTTGATCGATTTTCATTTAACTGGTTATGACTATAACAAATTTGAAATTCCAGTTCTTCGCAACCTGTGTCACTTTAGGTCATGATATTCTAAGGCAGCACGAGAGTTTTGATGTCAACTTTGCTGTCCAAAATCATCTTTATCAATCTTCTGCTATGTGCAAGCTAAAGTTGAATTGTCTTTTATTATTTAATAATCCTACACCTAATTGTAAGCCGATAGCAACCAAATCACGCCGCCATTTAGAAATTGATGAAAAGTTTATTAACGAAGAGATCAAGAACCTACTTAGGAAAGGCATCATTAGAGAAAGTATATCTCCATGGCGAGCACAAGTTCTTGTTACTAAAAATGAGAATCATAAGGAACAAATGGTAATAGATTACTCCCAAACTATTAACCGGTACACTCTTGTTGATGCATATCCCCTTCCCAATATCGAAAAGCTGGTCACAAATGTAGCAAAATATGAATTATTCAGCACTATTGACGTAAAAAGTGCTAACCACCAAATTGAAGCCATTAACGGTATTTGAAGCTTGTGGTAAATTATATCACTTCTGTCACATTCCTTTTGGTGTCACTTATGGTGTTTTTTGTTTTCAAAGAGTAATTAATGGAATTTCACTAAAGAGAATCTAACTGGAGTATTTGCATAGTTAGATGATGTTACAGTTTGTGGAAAAGATCAAGTACGGTACAATAAATATTTAAAAGCATTTCTAGATATGGTGAAAAGGTATGGATTAACCCTAAATCAAATGTCAGTATTCAAGAAAATGTATACATTTGTTAGGATACTCTATTAAAAATAAAACACTTCGACCAGATCCTGAATGTCTAAAATCTACGCCCACCAACGGACATCTCCGCCTTACGAAGAATAGTAGGTATGTTTGCTCACTATTCCAAATGGATTCCCAGTTTTTATCACACAATTCAGAGTCTTACAAAATGTAGAACATTTATTTTTCATATTAATGTCGTAGAAGATTTTGAGAATCTCAAAAATGTTATTGCTAATTCTTTTCTTTGTACTATTGATTCTTGTTGTAGAGACCGACGCTTCCGATTATGCTATAGCTACCCCTCTAAGTCAAAATGGCCGTCCTGTTGTGTTTTACACAAGAACACTCTTAGACTCTAAACGTCAACATTCTGTTATTAAGAAAAAAGCTTACTCTATAGTGAAGACACTAAAAAGATGAAGACATTTTCTTATTGGCTGACATTTTAAACTTATTACTGAACCAAGAATCTATATCATTCCACACAAAACACATTAGCAAACTCAAAAACGAGAAAATAATGAGAAGGCGGTTGGAGCTATCTTGTTATAGTTACGATATCATTTACTGTCCGGGAGCCGCCAACGTTGTAACTGATTTCTTTTCAAGGGTTTGCGGAGCTAGCAATAATATTAAACTCTTTGAACTTCACAAATCCTTATGCCATCATGGGATTACAAGAATGTATCACCTAGTACTCCTTAGATGATATAAAACGAATAATTAGTAATTGCCCTATATGCACAGAAGTCTAGCCAAGATTTTCTAAAAATGCTGATGTTCATTTAATAAAAGCTACAAGTGTTTTTGAACACTCCGAATAAATATATTTTAACAATTGTAGATGAATATTCATGGTTTTCTTTTGCTCTTCCTTGTTCAACCATGCATTCTTCCACAGTCAATAAATATCTCAACCAGTTATTATCCGTTTTCGGATAACCTGCTTATATTCATTCAGATTAAGGCCCTTCTATTATGTCGAAAGAACTTATCAGTCATAATATTTTAACTAGAACAACTTCTTATAACCCCGCAGGTAACGGTCAAGCTGAACGTTACAATGGCATAATATGGAGGTCCATTATTCTGGCATTAAAAACGAAGAAGTTACAAATTTTTCAATGTGAATCAGTGTTACCAGATGTTCTTTATTCCATTAGATCTCTTTTTGTATTTCAACCAATTCTTCAATTCTACTCCCTCCGAACGCAAGTTTAGACATGATTGAAGAGCCTTTACATTCATGACTAACACTTCTGAATTTGTTCTATTAAAGAAAAACGTTCGTCAAACTGATTACGATTCTTTTGTAGAAGAAGTTGAGGTAATTGAAGTAAATCCTAATCATGCTCTAGAAGAAATCTACCGTATCTATTAAACAACTATCTATCTATTAAACAACTAGCCCCCCCGAAGTGATGTATGGCTTCTTGAAGATAACCAGAGTATCAAAACCCGGGATAACCTCTTGACTGAGAACACAGGCTCTACTAAAAATGCTGCCGCAGATCCTGTGAACCAATCATTACATGAACAAGAACAAATTCAAGTAGAAAGGGTCTGAAAATTATAGAAGTAGCGAATTAAGAAGATTTTCTAGAATTCTTCACCCTCCTCAATATCTTAGATATTAAGAATAATAAAATAAACATGGGAGGAATGTTATATAATTTCTAAATCCCTTGTATTGTTGACAATTTTATATATACCCTTGTATTAGTTTTTATGTCAGTAGTTGTCAACTTAAATTTTTTTACGTCTGAAATTAGTTAATAAAAGCCTACAGTTTTAAAGGTTTTCATTACATTAAGTATTACTTTTAATATAGTAGGAGCGTTCTTTTGGCACTACCTGCAGAGTGTGGATTCTGACAAATTATTGTTGTGGACAATATAAACATGCTTTTATACTTGGTAATGACCAGATTCTGTTTAGTCATAATCAAGGTTGCTGTAATGTTGTCGGGATAACTTAAAAACTCCCTGGTAACTCTGCAGCTCTTTGTTTATCACTACCGTCAGGGCCAGGTACAAAAAGTATTTAGTTGGCTGTTTTCTTGACTAGTAAATCAGCGAGACGATTATCTTCCGATGGGACGTGACCTTTGATCCATCTTAAGATATTTATGTCAACTTTATTGATTTCGCATTATGGTGTACATAAAATGCAAGAAATATAATACTGAATTATGTACAAAAAATGTTTTTAAAGTAGGGCTTAGATATAATTCACAGCCACCTGTAGTTATCATGGCCATTCCTCGTATCTCTGTTATTGTTTACTTTAGAGACATTTTTTGTGAATCACACTTTAGCACATTAAGAAGAACCGAGGGCGGGAAGTAACATGCCTTCTAAGTGCTGACGTTTTAAAAGATTTGACTACAGAAAAACTGTACTTATCATCTTCAGATAATTTGAAATAAGAACAAAGAATATGTATATTTAAAACTGTTTGGAAGATGAAAATTCAGCAATATCTAGAGGATTATAAAGCTTAAAAACAATTGTGTTGTATCCTCATGATATATCAAAGGCCTGTTCAATTGGTACATAAGTCATCACTTTTCTAAAATCCTGTGCAAACATATTGTTGCACTACATGTATATATTTTAATTATTATGTAATAATCTTTTATTAGTTGTAAATTGTTACTAAATAAACTAAACTTTTTAGGGTCTTCTGCATTTGGGCTAGACATTGGCAGTATGAAAGATTCTGACGAGCCTTCTGATTTCGTAATAAATGGTAACAAAGTAATCGAGCCTTCAATTGAAAATTCAGTACGATTTATTATTCCTTTTATCGTAAATCATAATATTTTAAGAGCATTTAATTTTACTGCTTTCAACCAACACATTAACGATTTTTACGTCAATACTACGTTGTCAACGATCAAATATAGAGAAGAAAATAATATTGTAAGAAACGATTTTATGAATCTACTGATTCAAATGAAAAATAGTAAAAATGAACACGAAAGGTTGTCAATTTCTGAAATAGTAGGCCAATCTTTTGTATTTTATATAGCGGGATTTGAAACTTCCTCCACTTCAACAAATTTCGCAATTTTTGAACTTTCACAGCATCAAGATATTCAAGATAAACTTCGTCAGGAAATAAATCTAGTAATGAATAAATACGAGAATCAACTTACTTATGAAGCTGTACAAGAAATGGTTTACCTGGACCAGGTTGTTTATGGTAAGTATTTTTGGCTTACAGTGTATAATAACTTTATTGCCAACAGTCAATAAAGCCATGCATTACTATAGCGATTTGTATCTCACTGTAAAAATTTAAATATTTTATCTGCTGCTAATATTTATCAACATGACCGTCCGACAGAAATAGTCTGTAATTAATTTCTTATTTATTCGCAGTTATTTTTACTTTATCAAATTAAAATGTAATTTTATAATATCTTCTTTTTTTATTTAAGTATTTAAGTTTGGCGATAAAAGTTTATATGAACCACATCAGCAAAGTATTTTTATCGAATTCGCCTCTTTCTCGCCTTGCTCACTTCTCTCGATCGGCTCATAATCTCTGACTAGTTCGATAAATAGTTACTTTGCTGACTAGGTACATAAAATAACTATTTCGTTATTTAACAATATTAGTATAGCATAGAGCATTACAACCCAAGTAACAATTTTATATTTTATAAAAACTGAAAGAATGTTTTCGAAACAAATCGAAACAAAATTTATTAAACAGAATATTGTGATGTTTGTTTATCTTAAACAACAGTTTATTTATTAATAATTTATTTAAACACTTATTTATTTTATAACGCTACTATTCTAATTTATATATTTTTTGAATGTCTTTAAACGGATTACTATTTATCTTTACTGTCCCATTTATCACTAATTCCCGCTTGATCCTCCACCAATATTTATATACAAATTTATAACTTTGGCGAAGGTCCTAGAATGATCACCAATTCTCACCAATACTAGAAACATCTCATATCTGGAATATACCAGAAACATTATCACGTTGACTCAGGAATGTTCGCGAAAGTGCCTCCGCCATAGTCGTCACATATGTTTGGTCTTAAGAGGTTTAATTATGTATGATAATCGGACAAGTTGAGCCTCAAAGACCAAATAAGACAGAGAGGGACTTGGAGGATTAAAGCATGACTAAATAATGAAATGGCTCACATTACGTTGCCCCTCCTTAAGAGATAGTTCCTTGGAACTCTTACAAAACTAAAATTAAATGGTTGTATCTGCAACTGAACCCTCTTTTACAATTTCCAGTTGCATGGAAGTAACAAGGGACTGTCTTCGCTGTAACTTGAACACTGGGCGAATGGCTGCAGACCAGTATTTGTACTCCGGTATCTTGAAAGATTACTTTCACCATGTTCCTAATGATCTTCCAATCCAGCTGATTTCCTTCTATCTTCGGCATGGCTAGTTTCTGTACATTGGACTCCCGTACGTGCTCACTTAGACTAAGTAATGCTTCCCATACATCCTAATAGGTGGATCGATCTCGGTAGGTGTTTTTCGTTGTTAAATAGAAAAGATAACCGACCCGTCTTGAAGTTCCAAGGCTTCTCTAGGGGCTGGTAACTGACATTGAAGTTCTACCAGTCGACCAAACTTCTTACGGAACACATATGCCAGCCCTCGCGCGTCGTTGATGCTGGCGGAAGTACTATGGACCAGTGAGTAGTCTTTCGGAAGCGAGAGCAGATCTTGTTGTTGCTCGGTCGTAACAACATATCTGGCTTTTTCAATGCCTCCATATGCACCCATAAATTCTTCAAAGACAAGGTCAGGTGTTTCTTGAAATTGGTTTACTTCTTCTTCATGGTCACCCTCAAATGGCTCCAACCTGTTTTGATGCACTACCTTCGGTTTACCGTTTGGTATCTTACTTATACGGTAAATTACATTATTGATTTTATTGTTTATGAGGTACGGACCTTCCCAAGCCTTTGAAGCTTCGGAGAATAACCCTTTTGTCTTTTTGGGTTATGAAGCCAGACTTTTTCGCCTTCCTTGAAACATCCCTTCGTAGCTTGAGTATAGTACCGTTTCTTCATCCTGTCTCTGGCGATTTGGAGATGCGAGCGAACTAATTCATGCATGTCGTCCATTCTTCTTCGTAACTGGATTACATAATCTTCACCAGCTACATATTCTTCAGGTCCGCATCCAAACTCGAGGTCGCACGCTAGTCTCATCTCACACCCAAACAAGGCCTTTGCTGGTGTTTGGCCTGTTGATTCATTGACAGCGGATCTATAAGCCATTGCAAAGAGCGAAAGATACTGATCCCAATCTCTCTGATGGTTTGAAACCACTTTTGACAGATATTTGCCAATGGTCTTATTCATTCCATCGGATTGTGGGTGCAATGCTGTGGTTCTGGTTTTCTTCATGCCCAGTCTGTCACAGATTCCACGGAAAAGTTGACTTTCAAAATGTCTTCCTTGGGCACTCCAAATCGACAGATAAACTGTTTTATCAATACATCTGCAACTGTTGTGGCCTCTTGATTTGGAATAACGTAGACTTCCACCCACTTTGTAAAATAGTCTATAACTAAAATGCATTTATAACCTTTGATCTCAGAAGAAAGGGAAGTAAATGCCATTAAAACTTTACTAAAACAGGAATGTATGGTAAATGTATTTTTAAATGCAAAGTTATAATTGATATAACTGTACGATCTGCCGGTATCAATCAAAAAAATAGTATTGTGACCATTTACTTTAAAATCAACAAGGGTTTTCGAATATTATATATCCAAGGCGATCCTCTCAAATGGGCTACCAACGTTATATTTCTTCATGGGAGCCGTCCTTTTACGTTGAGGTCCATTACTCATAGCACAGGTGGTACATTTCTTACACCAGTCCTTTACATCGGAACTGCTCATTCAGTAAAACCTTTCCCGAACTCTCTGAAGGGTTTTTCTAACACCGAGATGTCCTCCTAATGGACTGTCGTGTAACTGACGGAGTACTTCAGCTACTCTACTTCTTGGAATGACCAACTGTCTTCTCTTCTCGGAACCATCATCATTTTCAAATACTCGCTGTAATAAGCCATCTTCCAGGATAAAGGAGTTCTACTGAGCCAAATACGACTTAAGTACTGGAGAGAGATTAGATACTTCTTGCCAAGTAGGTCGACGATTGTCCTCTTTCCATTGTCGCATCTTCTTTAAAACGGTATCATTCTCTTGTTCTTCCCTAATTTTAGCAGAGGCCCACTCATCGTTGACAACCGGCGTTCTTCGTACTGTAACTTTTTTAACAGATGTGGCCAACCCCATTTCAATCAGAGTTCCTTGACCAACACCTTCAGTGCGCTTCGAAGGTTGCGCCATGCCAGACATTATCTTCTCTACAGTTCCTTGCAACTGCCTTACTCTTATGGTTTCACTACTTTCAGGTAACACCGTTCCTTCCTTTACAGCCACCGGCACGGTTTTTTGTTTCGTAGTGTTCTTCGGTTGCTTCTCAATAAGGTTTTTTATCATGTGAAACAATTGGTCTAATTTACTTCTCTGTTCTTCTTCTTGTACAGTCCTTACTTCACAGTATCCACCAGAAGCCTACGTAGCTGCCTCATATTCTAAAGCAGCGGACAACACATCGACCAATGTTTTATGGCGAGCTAAGAGAAGTGTTTTCTGCATATCGCGGTCACGGAGTCCATCAACAAATGTTTGTACTGCCAAACATTCCATCATATTTTCCGAAGCTGACTGATAGGCAAATCGCACCAACCTGGCAATATCTACTTCATATTCTTGAAGAGTCTCGTCTCGTTTCTGTGACTGGTATAAATGCTTCAAGTGTTCGTGGCCATATCGCCTGTTCAATCTCTTTTTGATTTGTTCAAAATCAGTCTCTTCCACAGGTATAGTCTGAAGGACATCTAAAGCGTCTCCTCGAAGGGCGATTGTCAGATTCACTGCATTTTCTCGTTCAGACCATTCATTTGCTCTGGCAGCTGTTTCGAACTACTTAAGGTAGTTCGTCCATGACATCTTTCCGTCGAAAGTTGGGGCTCTAACACGAGCAGACTTTACAGCTATTTCCAATTTCAACTTCGACTCTACCTCATGGCACTTTATTTCACCGTCGTTGGCTGGTTATGTATGTTCCAGTTATTCTATCTTTTTTTCCATATCCTTTATTTTCTTCTCAACGGAAGACATTATTTTATTCTTAACGGAATAAATCGTATCTTCCAATTTATTTAGATGAAAACCCCATAAACAATTATTACAAATCAGATTTAACCAGCTATTATTTAAATAAATTGAAACCCCCCAATCTCAATTTATTTGGATGAAAACCCCATAAACAATTATTACAACAAGTAGGTAACTAACTAAAAAAATTCTCACAATCTCCTTCCCAAAATTTATATGGGCTACCATTATCTAAGACCGAATTAATTGTTACCTAGTGGTGGTTTTTCAATTTTTTTTCAGTGCAGATACTTATTCCGAATATTTTTTTTTCTTAAATACTAACATAGAAGTAGGTGCGGTTACAGTTTAATGTCCCTAAAAAATATATATAAAAGTAAATTGATTTTTTATAAAAATAGGTGAATACACTATAAAATAGCTGGTAGTCTGCTTATTTTAGAAACAAAAAATGGCGTAAATAGCAAAAACGATAAATGTTTAGTATGGGGCGTGCGCGGAAAAGAACAACAACAAAGATTTGATGTTTTCCACATAATATTATTCAATAAATAATGCACAAAATGGTTACCAACTCATTTTCTTAAATATTCTTGCTCTATGTGTATTTTTATTTCGAAACTTAAAAGGCAACTTGCAGAGAATTAACTTTAAATGACCTTCATTGTTTTTGGTTTGGTCTTTTCATTAATTTTTGAATTGCTTACTAATATGCGCAACCATATACGTTTCTATATTCAATGGATGAATTCAGTGAGCAACTAATTTAACAATATAGTTAAGATCCAGCTGAAGTTTGAGCTATGTTGCCCTTGCGTTGATACCAGAGCCTTTTATGTCTAAAATATATTGATTATCTATAATTATTTTTTGATCTATATATAAATCCTTTTAAATACTTATTTAGAATCATTACGAATGCATCCACCATCACCATTTTTGATGAGACAATGTAACAAAGACTACAAAGTGACTGGAACAGATTTAACAATTCAGAAGGGAACGTTGGTGTTCATTCCTTCTTACGCAATCCAGTACGACCCTGAGTATTATCCAAATCCGTATAAATTTGAACCAGAGAGATTTAATGCGGAAAATAAGAAGGCAATTCCATCTTATTCATGGTTACCTTTTGGAGAGGGACCCAGAATTTGTTTAGGTAAATATTTTATAAATTAATTATTTAAAATAAATCTGAACAAGTATGCTCATAAAATTTCTGATGTAGGTTTGTGAATAGCCAAAAAAGTTTTCTGGATAAAAAGTGTTACACTATATTTAAATATACAAATAAATGTATTTCTAAATTTTCATTAGATTATTCATAGGAATCTTATCAACGCATTTTCTGTCGAGACAGGCTGCTTAGATTTCACATATAACTTTATAATTAATACTACATGATGGTTTTTAAAGTTCTCCTGAATTTATAGTATCACAGAACAAAATAATTAAAAATAACAATTACTATTTTTTATTAATTTACATATACATTAGGAAAATTTTATTCCAATTTTGTTTTTCAGTTCAAAGTTTCCAAAATGATTTTAAAATTAAAATCAGCATTTTTTGTTATTATAATATGCACATTGAACTTAAAGTGAAATAAGAGCAAGTTTATAGTAAATGTTTTAATTAAATATATAATAAAAGAATTTACTTTATATACAGGATGTTAATTAATATATGATATAAGAGTGTGCTTCAAACATTTTGAAGAAGATTATGCTTTTAATCTAAAAGACGAGTTGCTAAGTTATAAACCAAAAAATTAACGTGATATTATATCTGAAGCTATCCAACTGAAAACCTACATTCTAAAACTACTGGCACTTCTGCTAATTGTCAACGTCAAGAAAGGATATCGAGAAGAAATCGTTCCAAAACTTACTTTTACAAGCTGCGTCATTTATATAAACAATTAACCGATATGTCTCTGAGCAGAAAATGAAAATTAGAGTAAATAAAATTTATTTTGTCTTATTAATTATTGAAATAATGTAATAAATGTTAATATAATAAATAATAGTACATTTTGACCTCTAAAATAAGCGTTTTGTGTTATAAAATAAAAATAAATGACCTTATTTTCATTCATACTTTTGTAGCCTGGTGCTATTTATTTGACTAAAAAGGGATGTTCAATATCCACATGAAGTTATGCGCACAAACTGTCTAAAACGAAACCGTCTAACATCAGGCCCTGTTAGTATAGTAATTAAAAAAAATTAAAAGGAATTTGCTTGAACTTGTTTGAAGTGAAATTTGTCGTCTTTTTGTATAATTAAAAATAAATAGTCGCTGTAATATACAGGGTGTCATATTTTAACAGCGTAATCTACATCCTAAAATAGAAGTAAAAGTTTATATAAACATAGGTTCGAAAACGTTTCGCTTTCGAGATACAGGGTGGCACATTTTTGTAAATATTTTCTAAAATTTCACCGGTTTTCCAAATAAAAAAAAAATAAAATTCTGATTCCACAGTCCTACTAATTATTGTTTGCACTTTTAAATAGGTTAGGTTAGGTTGGAAATGAGTGGGATGATCTCATCGCCTTCCACTACGGCCCAGATGGGTCTATTGTGGCTCACGACTAACTTATAGTTCACCGTACAAGCCATACCTTTTGATGAAGGCCATAGTTGAATTGGGTGAGACTTGTTTAAAGTTGGTAGGCTCCAGTCGGGTAAATCCGAAGATCTGAAACCGGGTTCTTTTCGGATAGGAGCAGAGGCGTTCATAGAAGGGTTGGTTATAAACGCCTTCGAGTTAGTCCTGGAGTATCTCTCCAGTTCGTGAGTGTTGCACCCTCCGTTCATTTTGAGATAATTCCTTTGACAGTGCTCTTTGTAATGCCCAGGAATGGTTCTGGTCCTATAAACACAGATTCGGTTCCTCTTTTAGCGAACGCGTTGGATTTTACGTTGCCCTCCACAGCACTGTGTTCCGGGACCCAGATCAAAGTAACTTTGTTCCGGGCCCCGAGACATACAGTTACTAACCAGATTTCAGTCAACTCGATTGGAGCTCAGGGCTTTAAGGACTGCCTGGCTATCTGAAAAGATCTTTATAGTCTTGTTTGCGGGAAGAAAATTAATCAACTCCCTCGCTTCCAATTCTGTAGCAGTCATTTCTGCTTGCAAGATCGTGGACAGAGAGCCTAGGTATATTGTTATGTCAGCTCTAGGCCTCTGGCCGAAAACTCTCGCTCCTACTCCTTTTTCAGTTTTGGAGCTGTCCGTGTACAACGCATAATCTGCTTGGGAGATGTTTTTTTCTCCTCTGCTTCATACGTCTCTCTCTGGAATGAGGACGGTGTATGGCTTTTCTATGTGCTGTCGGGGAACTAGCGAGTCCAAGACGATGCCAAGGATGTGGTGGTAATTAATTTCACTCATCAGCCCCGTCTTGTCCCATCGCAGTTCTTCATAGCATTGACTATCCACCTTTAGGAGTCTGTAGAAGACCACCCTGGCCTCCCTTTCCAGCAGAATGTGAAGGGGGTTAGGTCCAGCATGGTCTCAATGGCTACCGTAGTTGTGATTGACATTGGTCCAGTTATGGCGAGGCATGCAAGCCGCTGTATTCCAGCGAGCTCTGCTCTGGCCGTCCACTGGAGTCCCTTGTCCCACCAGACGACAGAGCCGTACGTAACCATGGGTTTTACCACTGTTTGGTAAATTCAGCAGATCATTTGAGGACTGATCCGCTATGCTTGGCCGCATATCCTTCTAAGGGTCCAGAGGGATAATCTGGTTTTGTTAATGGTTTTATCCAGTTGGGGGTTCTAGGCTGATCCCCAGATATTTCACCTCCTCCGCAAAAGGAATGGTTTCCCCAGATAAGGTAGGTTGTCGAAGCTTGTCGAGCTTCGTTCTCTTGGTAAAGGGGACGATAACAGTTTTACGGAGGATAACAGACATCTGCTTCCTCTCGCACCATCTGTTGATCGTATTAAGGGCTTGTTGAAGGATGTTGTAGATCACCTCTTCGAACTTTTCCCTAATTATGATAACCAGATCGTCCGCATAGCATTGGAAATCCACCCCATGCCAGGAGAGATCGTCAAGCAGGTTATCCACCAGAATGGTCCACAGTAGGTGTGAAAGTACGCCGCCTTGTGGACATCGTCTGGCAGACCTAAAAGTGACCGTCTTTCCCTGCCGTGATGAAGTGATGTTTCGGTTTGCCAGCATTCTTTTGATTACAAGTTAGTTTGTCGATTCCTCGTCTTTCAATAGAAGCGAACAAAGACTGAGGAAGGGCGTCGTTGAACGCGCCTTCTATATCTAGGAAGGCAGCTAGCGCAATCTACTCGTGATTTAGGGAATGATTGATTTTGTCTACTAGATCGTGCAGGGCATGATCTAGCCATCTGCTTGCTTGGTAGGTATATTGGGAGAAGTTTAACGGGCTTGTTCGAAGTCCTCCTTCTCTAATATGCCTATCTAGAATCCTCTCTAGTGTTTTTAGAAGAAAGGATGTTAGACAGATTGGACGATAGAGTTTGGTAGGGAGGTATCTACTTTACCAGCCTTGTGTATATACACGACTTTCGCTATCGTCCATTCTAGCGGGATATAGCTCCACGCCAGGCTTGCTCTAAACAGCCTGGCAGGAGTTTCTGTCCTTTTTGCAGAAGGGCAGGAAAATACCATCCTCTTCGGGTGATTTGAAGGGGGAGATTGAATTCATCGCCCATTTCATGTTCGAATAACTTATCATGAAATTTTCAAATGCTTTTTCTTGAAAATGTTGCGTCCCAGCGAGATACAACAAAAGTAGCTTAATTGTAAAGAAAATATTAGTTTTCCAAATTTTGTAGTCAAAAATGTTAAAAACAGTCAACAAAAAAACTGAGAACAATTTAACCCTAAGCCCCTCCCCTAATTTACCCACCTATGAAGATGATCAAAAACTGGCGATTAGTTCATTAAATAGAGCATAAAAAGTTTAGTATTTGTACCAATTTTCACTTAATTATCTTTAAAAGTTTAGAAAATATTTTCAAAAATGGGTCATCAGGACTTCAATTTTAAAACCATGTATCTCTGAAACAAAACGTTTTCGGACCTATGTTTATATAAACTTTTATTCCTATTATAAAATTTAGATTACTCTGTTAAAACATGACCGTCTTATTTCGGGACACCCTATATAGAATGCAAATACTCTTATTTTTTAAATAAAAGTGAATGGCTTATATTTGTTTTCCAGTGAAATTTTTCAATATAACATGCAAAGTAGATTATTTTAGGCCTATATTCTAGGCTAGTGCGAATTGTTATGGTGACAAACATGTTCATAATCTCTGAATAATTTAGTTGCGTTTAAATTCGTTTACTAATTTTAAATAATTATAATTTAATATATTATAGTAATTTTGTACTTTTAGGCATGCGATTTGGAATTCAACAAATGAAAATCGCTCTGATAACACTTATACAACATTTCAAATTTTCCTTAAACAAACGGACAACATTACCACTAAAAATGAGTAGATTACCATTTTTAATGAAAACCGAACATGGAATTTATATAGATTTAGAGGTAATAAATAGTGAAGATCAAACAAGGGAACATAAAAATAAAAATGAGTAGGTAATATAATAACTAATTCTAATAATTGCAAGTCAAACTTCATTCTTTTGACTACCTACTTATTGAACGTAACCATATTTTTGTTATTTAATAGTAAATTGATTTTATTTTCATATTATAATTGTAATGTTAATTAATAAAATATATTTCTTTAGTTTTTAGAGTTTTATTTCAATCATATCCTAGTTAAACTTGAAGCTGATGAGATGTATAACATTTATCAATTTCTATTAATTTACTGTACATTACTGCCTTAATTTAATATACGTCCTTATGAATTTATAACAAAAAAAAGGAACTATGGTCGATTTCACAAAAATTGTTTTCATTTAGCTCTGAGAAAACTTTTAAAATACCTTTAAACATTAAAATTAAATTTAAAAATTCATAAGGAAAAGTACCAGTTATCAGTTACCTTGTTATCAAATATCGAAAAAAAAGACATAATTATTTAATAACACATACAGGGTACTATTGAAATACATAAAGATATTTGACAGAATATAATTTACTCTCCTAGAATTTACAAAAATATTATTTAAAAAATATATCAATTAGTTAATGAGTGGTTACATTTTGAACATGTATGTTAAATTAATGAAGTTGACATTGCTCATCAAGCCGCCGATGCCCATGAGCAATGACGTCAAACCGAGCGACGCAACCTGGAGTTTCTCATAAGGATTATAAGATCTATGGTAATATACGGTACAGTTGTTTGGCTAGGTACCGAAACCCCAATAAGAATTGAATCGGTTAGTTCGAAAACCGTACATGTCCAAAATCAGCCTTCCGAGAAAAACAACAAAAACCTTTTAACGAGTCACGAATATGTACGGTTTTTCGCCTAATTCCACGAATGTAATCAGCTGTACTACGTTAACGGATAGGTATGTAGTACGGTTTTTAAGCTTTATCGATGAAGAGACAAATTTTAAACATAATGGCTATCTTACTTTAAAATGTTAAATTTTGGACTTGTACGGTTTTCAATCTAAACGACTCAATTATCATTTGGACATTTATGGACTTTATGGACCAAGATGTATCTTTTATAACCCCTAAAATGCTATACGAACATTATAGAAGAGGCAGAAAAATCAGGTAGTAATTTAAACATAAAACAGGGCGCAGGGTGTGGAATATACTCAAGATCATAAAACTCATTAAATGAACTATTAGCAATAGCGCAAGTGTAGTTCACAAAGATTTTTATGGTAGCACAAGAAATTACTAGAAACAATATGACTGGAAGAAACATGCTTATCCCCACATATATTTACAAATCACTACTCACTCTGGACAGACCACGGATTTACTGAGGGTTAATACTAAAATGTCACTAAGCCTTTTCTAAAGTACCCTGGTCCAACCATTAAACTAGCAACATTGGTTGGGATAAACCTAATTAAATGACATTCCTGTGATATAGTAAAAATGAAGTGCAATGAGAGATGCAGAATTGCTAACGAGCTATTAAGTTACCCTTATAGCACTACAGCAAACAAATACTCTACTCTGAGTAAAAAGAAGTTTACACGGATTACAGGCGATCTAAATTTTCATTGCTAAGTACGAAAGCACTTCTATAGATATGATGACAATATGGAGCATATATCCTCTATAATAGTTCGATGATTTCATCTATTAGGCTATTTGGATTGAGTTAGTAGTGCCTAACATCGTCCAACATAAGAGCGGACCTCTCGACAACATTGTTAGGTACATTACATGTTCAGGCTGGCTAATAAGTTAGATAAGATAAGATTTAATTAAGATTGTTGGCCATGTGGCCTTCTCCACAACCTTTCCAAATCTATTGTGGATATCCTTTATTCGTTGTTCAGAGTACCTTGTCTAATTCAAACTTTTGTAGTAGACATCATTGACTAGAAAGTAGTTCTCCGACGTAGCTTGTTGCCCTTGGTTTTTCTTCTCCATGTGCAAGGAATCTTAGTCTTGATAGACCCTCGCAAAAGCACAAAACGTATTCTGCACTTTCCTCCTCTTCCTGATAGAATCTCTTTTGTCAGACCGATATTAAACATATGTTTGTTAAGCATATACAATGTTTTGTTAATATACTTATCTACTAGTACGCTACTATTTTTCCTATTAAGGCTTAGTAGATAGGTACTCGCTCAGTTTAGGCGATGATTATTTTAAGAACTCTTTGGCCTCTCTCTGTTCTGGTGAATTTTTGTACCAGTTCTAAATTTGTTAAATATTTACTGCTTTGTGCATATTCTAATAGTTGTCTTTGTGACACCACAGAAGGGTTCTGGGCTAATAAGATCCTTTGAGGGTCCTTCTCGAGTTAGTAAATCAGCCTTTTCGTTGCCCTTATGTTCTCTGTGGCTTGGTACCCAGGCTAAAGTTAGTCATTTTCGACTACACATCTCTGTTGGGGCTTCCAAGCAGTCTCACACAAGCTTTGAGTGTACCTGTATAAAACTGAGTGCATTTAAAGTTTCTTGATAATGGTTTTTGCATTTATCTTCATTTTTAATACCTCTTTTTACAGTGGTGTATTGCTGCTATTTCTGCCCAGAATAATGTCGTATGTTTACCTAAGCTCATTGAGATTCTTATCTTTGGCTTGGCACTAGATATACCTCTAAACATTTATGGGTTTTGGAGCTGACTGTATACCAGGTGAATTCTGCATAAATATGATGTCTTCCGGCCATGCTTCCTTGTCTGGTATACTTACTTTATATTGCTTTTAAAAGCTATACTTTTATCTGAAAGCATCCCCGTTTTGTGGTTGTTCTGCAACTTTATACATAGCTCGCTGTAGTCACGTCCATACAAAATGCTTATGGGTGATGGACCTTTGTGCAGTCTGTATGCGACAGACCTATCAATTTTTAACAGGATGTACAATGAGCCTTATACGACCCAAATGGTGTGGAGCAACCCACCCACGCCATATTAGAAAACAGCATGTACACAATTTTTAAAATTACTCTCGTTTGATAACGATATTTTCTGTTCAATTGTATATTGACAAATTTTTTAGATTAACCCATTTTTGGCCAATGGTGCGTATACGCACCAGCCTACAAACTATTTTTTTTTAATGATATTAATAAATTTTTAATGAATTATACATTTTTTATCAAGAGAGTACTGTTAATCAATAATGGTTTGCATACCTATCTACCATACCTACATCAGATTTTTTTTTAATAATTGATCAAAATATGTCGATTTTCATTCACGATGCAGACCTATAAATAATTGCATATAAAAGAGATCAATTTTTCACAAATCTAGTTTATTTATTCACGATATTATCACTTAGATACTCTAAAATAACATAGCATAATAGTGTTACTCCATTTATTTTTTTAAAACATTCAATTCGTATAAAAAAAATAGTGGTTCGTATACGCACCATTGGCGCTATATATGACCGAAAACATATTATATGCACGTTAGATAGACGTGCGCACTTGCACGTAATTAGTAGTGCGAAGACTTCCTGTATCGTCTCGCAGTCGCAGTTCTGCTTTGATTGTTGTGTAGGCAAGTCGGTAGTTGAAATTTTTGCGATTTTGTTGTGTGAGTAAGATTTTAGAGATATGGCGCGAAGAAAATATCTGACACAAAGAGAATTGCAAGAGGCATTGGAAGATATTGAAAATGATATTGAAGCCGCTGATGGTAAGTAATGGATGTTTATTTCATGAGTGTTAATGTTTCATGGTATATTCTTTTGCAGTACGTGTGTTGAATGCTGCGTACATTCCACCGGAAGATGAATTGACGGACGAAGAGAACATTGATGAAAATGATCAAATGAATCAAATACCACTAGATCAGGATATAGCCGGTACATTCGAAATAGATGTGGGAGATAACGACGATTCATATGATGAATCAAATGACGAGACGCTATTGGAAAAAAGAAAAAGACAAAAAATGAATGTACAGAAATTGAGAGAGCCTAAGTGGGAAAAAATGAAATTACCCAAATTCGTTTACCTATTTCAAATGAAATAGAATCCATACAAGAGCTGAAGAACTCTTTGGAAGGAAAGATACCACTGGACATATTCTTTTTATTATTTGATCAAGAGCTCCTGTCCACGATAGTGGACTTTTCGTTGAAATATGCGCGTAGCAATAATCGTCTACATTTCGATATCAATATAAATATTCTGAAAAATTTTCTTGGTATTTTGATACTTTCTGGTTATCATATTTTACCGCAAACAGATCTCTACTGGAGCAAAGATGAAGACAAAGGTGTTGACATAGTCAGAAGATGTATGAGCAGAAATATGTTTAGAAGTATCAAAAGAAACTTGTATTTTTCCGACAATGCAAATCTAAATAAATCTGATAAATTTGCCAAAATGCGACCACTTTTTGATTCCATCAATATTCGCAACAAGCAATTTGGTGTGTTTTCGCACAATCTTTCTATCGATGAGCAAATGGTTCCATATTTTGGTAGACTTCCTGCAAGATGTTCATAAAAGGAAAACCCGTTCGATTCGGATTCAAATTATGGTGTTTATGCTCATCTGATGGATATCTTTTTACCTTCATACCTTATGGTGGAGCGAAAGCAAAGAACGAAAAATCTCCGTATGGACTAGGAGGGCAAGTGTTGTTAGATCTCTTGGTTGTCTTAGAAAATCCGTTACATCATAGGATTTTTTTGATAACTACTTTTCATCGTATAAATTATTTGAGAAATTACATGAAATGCAATATTCTGCAACAACGAATAAGTGTCCTCCAGAAAATGTGAAGTCTTTCAAGAAGAAACAAAGAGGTGCTTATGATTCCGCAGTTGAAGAAAATATTCAACTGAGTCTTGTCAGATGGAATGACAATGCCATTGTCACTGTCGCCAGCAATAATTTTTCAGTTCAGTTTTTAGCAAATACAAAAGATTTAATCGAAAAGAGCGGAAGGATATTCAAATTTCACAACTATTACAAGGAGTTCAGAATAAGACAATAAATTATTTGAAAAATATTTGTTTTTATTTTCAGTTAAATAATTGCGTGCCAAGCGCTCAAGAAGTTCTGCTTTCGAAATATTCTTTGTCTCGTCTTGTTACATCGGCTTGT